GGCTGAGAGAGAGGGACTGGCCCAGGATCACCCAGCTGGCTTTGTGCCTAAGGTGGAACTAGAACTCAGTCTCCCAGTTTCTAGCCTGATGCCTTAACCACTACACCAAACTGGCTCTCTTAATACTTATAATATGCAACAAAAAGAGCCATATAGATTTGTAAGTTGTTCATTGGCAGAAGAAACTAAATGGGCAAGTTGTGTAACATAACCAGATGTTAACTGTTACTTGGTGAGTTTACTGTTGCAGGCACACAGAGCCACACTGAAGCTGTCAAAGTAACAAGTTGATATAAAGTTCAATTATTCTGTAATCAACTTTTTAAAAGTAAAGCTTCCTTCAAGTCATGCTCAACTTCTGGTGACTTTGTACACATTCATGTGGTTTTCCGGGCAACAGCACAGAAGTAGCTTGCCATTGCTTCCTTCTGGGATATTTTTTCAATTTCTTGGTCTAGCCTACAACTCTGGAATTACCTGGAGGTCCAAGTACTAATCAAGTCTGATCTTGCTTAGCTTGCTGAGATCAGCCAGGGTTGGCTCAATGCTGCTGTTTAAATATCTGACCTTATGTACCCTTACTTCCTTACTTTTGTACTTCCTTTTTTACAACATCAGGCAGTAATTATTTGAGCAAGTGATGTACTTTCTGTATATTTTAGTGAGAGACCAGTGTCTTCTCAGGGTGTCTTTATTGAGCATTTAACATACTCAGGCTATGAAAAAGTACTAGCTTTGGCTTTCTAATAACTTTTGATCTGTTACTAATAATGGCAAGTAATTTGTATTCCCCTAAAAAATTAGAAGTGGGTAAGTTAGCTGTAAATTTCTGTCCTGGCTTCTGAACAAATCATGCTCAGTTGAAGAATGGACTATAATCATTTAATTCATTGTTTCTGAAGTCACTTTTTAAATATATTTGAACAAGTTGCTAGTCTTAGATTAGTTATTGTAACATTATGATAATACAGAAGAGAAAAACTGTTCATCTTTTCATTTAAGATAAAATGTGAATAGACCTTGTCTACATCACTCTGCCTTTCTTTATAGTGTTTTATTATATAATTTGGCTTTGCCAGATAGAAAGGCTATAGAATTGTATATGTAGTTCAACTTCCTTTGCATTCATAAACAGTTAATGTCACCCCTTAAAACATTTCTTCAACATTGCAGATCTATGGGCTTGTGAATACTAAAATTAATATTAATGAATTTTCGCTTTTTTATTTTAGATTCATTGGTTTTCAATCTTCAATTCCTTTATGATGGTTATTTTCCTGGTGGGCTTGGTTTCTATGATTTTAATGAGGACCTTGAGGAAAGATTATGCACGGTATAGTAAAGAAGAAGAAATGGATGATATGGTAAAACTTTTGCTCTTATTTTCACTCTTAGATTTATATCTGTGAAGTTTATGAGAGAGCCTGGATGCAGAAAGGTTGAATGTGTTAGAAATAGGGTGGGTCATAAACAACTAGTGTGGCCAGTTCCCTAGCTGCACGGTTCCCTAAGCATAAATATTATGAGTATTTATTATAACTTAATGATTTAGAAACCTTTTCTGGCTTGCTGTTATTCTTGCAGTTTATTTCAGTAGTGGGGACCTATAGTTCTCCATGCACTCTTGATGGATATTTTTAAAGTATTATATGCTTAATATACAGATTATATATGATATTTTAGTTAGAGTGGTAGTCTCAAAACTCTTTCACTAGGAAGTATTTTTGTGTTAAGATAAAGCAGATTCTCAGTCCTGTCTGTGTGGCAAAGAAGGTGGAAAAAGTGTTCTTTTTGAATTCTTTTGAATGCCTTTTCTTCAGTCATCATCCTAACCCTTCCTTCGCAATAGAAGAGCTAGAATCTTTAACGTTCTAATCTCATTGAAGGTCAGAAAATCTGATATATGCATAGTAGAATCTTAATGAAAAGAGTCTTATATATGTTAATTTCAGTCCTTTTCAGTCAGGTTTCAGGCCCGGATTTGGGATGGAAACAGCATTGGTCACACTAATGGATGATCTCAGGCGGGAGCAGGGTGGGGGTAGTGCATCCATCCTTGCTCTTCTTGACCTCTCAGTGGCTTTCAATACCATCGACCATGATATCCTTTTGAGTCAATTTGGGGAGTTGGGAGTGGGCGGCACAGTTTTGTGCTGGTTCTCTTCCTTCCTCCAAGGTTGATCCCAGTCGGTGTTGATTGGGAGTGAGAGGTCCAGCCCATGGCCCCACAGGGTTCAGTACTCTCTCCACTCCTTTTTAACGTCTACATGAAACCAATGGGTGAGATCACCTGTCACCATGGGATGAGGTATCATCTGCATATTGATGATGTTATACATCTCCATCCCAGATAACCTGAGTCATCCAGTTATACATCTCCATCCCAGGTGACCTGAGTGATGCTGTGACCACCCTTTCGTGGTGCCTGGAGGCTGTGGGGGTCTGGATGGGGTGCAACAGGCTTCAGCTGAACCCTAGTAAGACAGAGTGACTGTGGATTGGAGGTCTGTATCCAGGAACTTACCATCTTTGGTTCTGGATGGGGTTGCACTGCACCAGACAGACCCAGTGCATAATCTGGGGGTACTCCTGGACTCATGACTCCTGCTCAAGGAGCAGGTGACAGTCGTGGCCAGGAGGGCCTTTGCCCACCTTTGTGTGGTGCGCCAGTTATGCCCCTTCCTGGATCAGGAGGCTCTCCAGTCAGTCACTCATGCCCTGGTCATCTCTCAATTAGACTACTGCAATGCACTCTACATGGGGGTATCCTGGAAGAGGATCTGGAAGCTACAGCTGGTTCAAAATGCAGCCACGCGAAACAATCTTGCGTGCCCCAAGAATGGCATATATAACACCTCTGCTGCAGGAGCTGCATTGGGTGCCAGTTTGCTTCCAGGTCCAATTCAAGGTGTTGGTTATCATCTTTAAAGCCCTACATGGCATGGGTCCAGGTTACCTGACAGACCGTCTCACCTCCATTACATCAACCTGTCCCACCCGGTCAGGCAGAAAGGGCATGTTCGGACCCTGTCAATGAGAGAATGTCAGCTGGCGGGGCCCAGGAGGAGAGCCTTCTCTACCGCTGCCCCCGCCCTTTGGAATATTCTTCCCCCAGAGGTGCAACGGGCCCCTACCCTCCTAGTTTTCTGGAAAGGACTTAAGACCTGGTTCTGTCAGCTTGCATGGGGTGACAAGAGTTGTAATCGATCCTGGGGATGGCTGGTGCCCTGATGACACTCCCCGAGCTGTTTGCTAATTTTATCATCTCTTGGAATCTATTTATTAATTATTTAAGATTGTTTTATATTGTATTTTAATGGATTTTATCTCATCTGTAAACCACCCAGGGTCGCTTTTTAATGAGATGGGTGGTGACAAATTTGATATATAAAATATAAATAAAATAAATAATTCTTGCATAGTTGGCCAAGAAGTGGGGCCAAAATGTTTTTTACCTTGCCCTGCGGTTCTCTGTGGAAAAAAGAAGCATGTCTCCTTCAGGTCTTGATCCTCTGGTCTATGTCTAGGGCCAGACTGATTATACTGATTGGACAGGAAAAAATATGAGTGTATTAAGCTCATTTACATAACTACTTAGGCCAGTGTTCCATTTACAGGCAGTCCCCAGGTTAAGAATGTACGACTTAAGGACAAGTCATACTTACGAATTGGCTACCTGTTACTAAAAAGGGCAGACAGTGTTCTTCCTCAAGTTGACAGACTGCTGAAGTTGCCCAATGTTTTCATGAACTACTGAAGCCATGCATTTTTATACAGCGGTTTTCCGTGGTTCATGAAAATATTGCACGGCTTCAGCGGTTCATCGACTCAAGGAAAGAAAACGCTGTCTGCCATTTTTATTAACAGGCAGCCTGTTTGTATGTATGAGTTGTCCTTAAGTCGTACGTTCTTAACCTGGGGACTGCCTATAATAAGGTATTATCTGGTGGAGTTTACCCTTTTCAGAGAGATCTTTCCTAGCCAGGGATTGAATTTGGGACATTTGGCATATAGAACAGGTACAGTATGCTATTTACCATTGGCATAGATCCCTCCCCAAATTCTCTAGTCAGCAGAAGAGTAGAGTCACTAGCTCCTCCATATCTAAAACTTTTCTGCATTTAAGCCTCATATGTATGCATTCAGATATCTAATTATGTAGAAAACAACTAAACGTATGAAAACCTCTGTATGAAAACCTACATTAGAGGCTAACTTTGGGAGCTAATGATAGTGAGAATATGGCTAGCAAATTATTCTTCTTAATCTGCAGATATGAGAGATGTAATAGGTTAGGTCACTGATTATCTGTGCTTTACAGTTTTTTTCTGGTTTCTCTGTGATTACAGTGTTTGAACTAGTTTATTCCTTAATAAAGAGTTCAAACCCCTCCACTAAACAGTGAAGCAATAGAAAATATTGCAGAGATGATCTGGACCTGTGTTTCCTTTTAAAGCAGGGGTGCATAATTCTCAATCCACAAATCCTTATGTATAGCTCCAAATCTCATTTAAAAGTTGCAACAAAGGAAATGAGGGAAATTACTGAATACATTGTACAAAATATGTTTACTTACATTTTGAATCAGACTTAATTTTTCTCTTGGTCTCATCCAAGTGTGGCTTCTGACAGGTGTTACCTTCGACCTGAAAATGTTTCTGTAGTCCTATTTTAAAGAAATAATATTTATTTATTTATTTATTTATTTATTTATTTATTTATTTATTTATTTATTTATTT